AAAAATGTGAAATCAAATTTCGTTTGTGAGAAATTAGTTTTCGTTACTTTGAAATCAATTTTCACTTGAGCGAAATTAGATTTCACTGATGTGAATTTAGTTTTCATTAATTTGAAATCAAATTTCACCAGTGTGAAATAATTCTGGAAATGGTATAGATAATAGGGAACTTGCAAGTGAAATAAAATTTTCCAAATTTGATTTAAATCGATAGTTTATACTATACTGTACAATATCCATATGACCAGTTTTCATTTAACTAATACTGCCCTTGTTACACAAAAAATAATACTAAATTTGAAATAAAAAATTTCCCGCCAAAACAATGCTTCCATGATGGCCCCTTTTTTGACGTCACGATTCTGTAAACAAGCTTGTCAAAAAAGAACTTGCAAGTGAAATAAAATTCCAAAAGTAGTCCTATACAATATTCTTCATCCATCGCGACAATTTTCACAAAAAGAAGGCTTTTCCACTTTTAAATAACACAAAAATAGCACTGCGTCAGCAGAAGTTCGTTTGCTGTGTTTGTTGTTTACGAAATATTGATGTCACAAGTGCTGTCATATTGAAACCTGGCGTTTTCGCGCCAAAGTTTTTGATTTGAATTTCAATAATTTTTTTTTCGTACAACGTATAAATTAAAATGGAAAAAAATTGAACCATGTAATATCTAATCGCTAGAAGTATCTAAAAAAGAATAAATTGAGAAATATGGAAATTCCGTACGTTAACCTATTATAGGTGAACACATAGAGAAATATAATAAACCAAGGTAAGAGTACCTGATTGATAACATGAAAGTTTGGACCGCCCAATCGGTTAAAAATGACAAACACATGACAAATTTCAACACGGAAATGTCGTTATTTTAAGGTTACTTATTTGTTTTCTCGGTCACATTTTCTATAGTTATGGATTTGATAGGTTTCTACAAAACAGCTAGGAAAGCTCTGTAACTCATACTGTGTCCTTGTCTTGTGAATTGGTATGACAGAGAAAGATGAAACAGAATCGAATGATCGGAATGATCTTTCGTAAGTCTCTAGCTTTCCAAAAATTCCGCAATGCGCTATGCGCAACCGGATGCGCAGTAATAGTATAACCTATTTCGGCTATACTTTTGAAGGTCTTTTTATTTTTTATTGTCTATGGGTGAACAGACCTAAATGAGTATTTATTGTAAGTAACTCTTTAGATTTTTCACTAATTTGGAGCTGTTGGTAGGCTTCCTCTACATCTAAGACACAAAAGTATTTTTGACCACTTAAACAAGCAAAAATGTCCTCTGGAAGAAGTAAAGAACAATGGTCTGACTCCAGGGCCCGTATTCTCGTAGCTGAGAAACAGCGTTTCGTCAAGAGAACGATTGCTCTGTCTTTGTCAGTATTATGGAAATAACAATATGGGTGCCTAAGACAGAGTAATCGTTCTCTTGAGAGAACGCTGTTCCCCGGTGACGAGAATACGGGCCCGGGACAGTATCAAGGATTTTTTTGAAATCCGCACAAATTCTTAATTCACCTGAATTCTTTTTAGAGGCTATAACAATGGGACTTGCCCAGTTACTAAAACTTACTTTGGAAATAATTCCAGACTTTTCCATATTTGATAATTCATATGTAACTTTTTCACGCAAAGCATATGGCATTTCATACCGGTCTATGGAAAATTGGCTTAGAACCCTCTTTTCTTTAATTTGTAACTGAATCAACAAATTCTTAATTACAGAGTTGGGTTCTTCTTTAAACACTTTAGAAAATTTATTTTTAATTTCTTGAATTAAAAAAATCTGACTTTTTATTATTTTGACTGTCACTGGCTTGATTATTTCAACTTGTACCTTGAAATGACTTACGTACTGTTGATGACTGACACTGACTCTCTAACTGACATGTGACTGATTGACAAGACGCAGACTCCACTGACTCAATTGACTCATTCTGACTGGCTTGACTTAACTGACCTAGACTAAAAATATTTTTCCAACTAGGACTTATAACATTAAGCCAATTCCTACCTAAGAGTGGTTTGAACTCTCTAGTTCTATCACTATAGGCAAGAAATACTTTGAATTGTTGAACTTTTACATCTACCTATCTCACCAACGATTTTGACTTTCTGACCTGTGACTACTTTTGAATTATAATCAACAGAAAATAATTCATCAAGTTTTATAAATGTAGCCACATGTATGACGGTCTTGCATGCACCAGAGTCTACTTTAAATTCTAATGGCTTACCCTCGACTATTATATTTACCCTTAAAGTATTTTCAAAAACCTTGTCGATTTTTGAAATAAACGCCAGCTCTAACGAGTTTTCTTCATTCTCTGACTCTATATCACGCTATACGCCATCTTCTTCCTGAACTACGACAAGCTGTACCTACTTGTGTGACACTTTTTGTGGAATTTGAAGCATTCCCATGCTTTTGCTGGGCAGGTATCTGGGTTGTGTCTTTTTTTACACCTGAAACATGGCTTCATCTCCCTTTAAAAGTTATTGGAACGTGACTGTGCTGCAGACTGATCTTTCCTCTCAAGTTTTACACTATGACTGGTGACTTTCTTATGACCCAATTTATTAAATTGCTGACCTTCGCCACTGATTGTACTATGGATAGCTCTGACTTGCTCTTCAGCTAGCTCCATTGCGACAGCAATATTATAAGCATTTGCCCAAGTCAAGTTATCTTTTGATAACATTTTCGCTTAATTGACTCTGATCTTAGTCCACAAACAAATTTATCTCTGAGAGCAGAGCTGGGCAGGGCTTGAGTGCTTTGTGCTTGCGAAAGTGCTTGAAGCACTTTGAGGACTTGAAAGCCCTGTGCTTCAAGCCCTTTTATAGATTTGTAATTGGGGCTTGCAAAGTCAATTACTTTAGAAAAGTGCTTGGTAATTTGTAATTTAAAAAAGTAATTCAAGCCCTTTCAATGAGCTTCAATTACTTTTAGAGGGCTTGAAGCACTTTTGGGAGCTTGAAGCCCTTTGAAAGGGCTTGAAGCACTTTAAGAGGGCTTGAAGAACTTTTGGGAGCTTGAAGCACTTTGAAAGGGCTTGAAGCACTTTAAAAGGGCTTGAAGCACTTTAAAAGGGCTTGAAGCACTTTAAAAGGGCTTGAAGCACTTTGAAAGGAATTTGAATTGACCATCATTCAACCTATCCCCCACTTAAACATTTTCGATCGTGTTTTGTCCCTTAATTTTTTTTTCTATTATTTGAACTTGAACCGTCTTATGTCTTTTCTCTCTTAACAATGAAGGTTTTGAGCTTAGAATGGAATTAAAAAAAAAAAAAATGAATGAACTTATTATTCAAATAAATAAATAATTTATAGGTACCCTATTTAACTTTATCACTGGATTTTTTTCACTTTTCCCCATTGAACATTTTGAAAACCTTAAAATTGAATTACCATGTAGTACCCCAACTACCCCAAGTACCCCAGAACTACATCTCAAAAAAAAACATACTACTGCTACGTTGTGGAATGTGAAGTTCGTCTTTACTATACCAATTCTGTGTGATGAGTGTACGCGGTAACTTATGCCACTTTGAGAATTTTATTACAAATTCAAAGTGCTTTAGGCACATTTAAAGAGCTTCAAGCACATTTAAAGAGCTTGAAGCACATTTAAAGAGCTTGAAGCACAGTTAAAGAGCTTGAAGCCCTTTTCAAGGCACCCCAAGCTCTTTTGATGTGCTTCAAGCACTTTTCAAATCACTTTGAGGGCTTTGTGCTTGTCAAGCCCAAAGCACTTTGAGGGCTTTGTGCTTGTGAAGCACTTTTGAAAATAAAAAGGAATTTGTGCTTGAAATTGAAGCACTTTGATAGAGGGCTTAGGGCTTAGTGCTTCAAGCCCTTTTACTGAGGGCTTTGCCCAGCTCTGTCTGAGAGCCTCTTCCAGAAAAAGTGTGCCCCGTAAAATTTGTACCTCTCTGCTATTCTTAATCTTTTTGGACTGAAGTAATTTATGAGGGCTGTTTTCAGTTGATCATTGATAAGAGCACGGTATAGACTCAGAAGTAGTCTTTATTGCGCATATTCTGGTCAGCAGCGTCTTTATTTTTTAGAAGTTATCAGTTGCATCATCATATAAGCACAAAAGTTCAGGTTTTAATAAGTGTGTCGACATGATGGTATTAGAATAAACAGCTTTCGGAAAATTGGACTTTAATTTGCATAGCTGGACAATACACGGACAGGTCTGAGGCAAAAAGCGCCGTCCTAAGGACGACGTTTCAACCGCTCTATGTAGAGCTGAACTTGTAGGTACTAAAGTCCAACAAATACCATTTTAAAGTCACGTGATTTTTCTCTATCCTTGTTTAATACATCTTAAACAGCGGTGATAGTAAAATTTAAAAAAAAAATTGGTGTCTAATTTTTGTTCATAATATTCTTACCTGAAATAAAATCCGTCACTGTCATCAATTAATTTGCCAAAGCTATTTTCGAAAATGACAACGAACAAACACAGCTAATAATTTTGACTATATTAACCTTTTTCCAACTTGAAAAGAAGCAAATAGAAAACGGGTACCCAATTCAAATTCAAAATTTATTACAACGGACAGCAGATGCGACAAAAGTGAGTCTCGCTACAATTGGAAGTATTACATTCCCATCTGATTGGTCAATACTACTTCAGAAACGTGTTTGTGAAATGCTAGTGGGAACATATCCTAAAATTCAATAGTAATTAACCACCAGTAGCTGTTTGTAGGTGATATTAACGACATAATCAATGGACATACATTTTTTTGCCACCATTTTGACCACACGTGACTTTAAAATGGTATTTGTCGGACTTTAACAGTATAGGTATCCATACCAGTTTACTGGTGCACAAACTCGTGTCAGAAAATTTAAGGTTGTGAAATAATAAATGCTTTCATCATGACATAAAACAATTATATCAATATTTATTTGTGAGCCAACAAAGCGCCAAGCCATTCCAAGTTTATATTCAATATACAAAAATTATATTCAAGACAATGTCAGAAGAAGACGAGGAATACTACGACTCGATTGATGATACTGAATTAGAACAATGCCGAAGTTTTTGTAATGCCAAATTTCAAGATGGTGATTCTGATGTTGACGAAAACGATTGCGCTACGAAAATAAACGAGCTGATACCGTTCTACGAAGGCAACGTGGGGAAATCGGAAATTGAATCTATAAAAAGCAATAGCATGACAACATTTAAAAATGTTAAATTGAAAAGGAAGGTCCCCAAAATGTCTTTGGCTTGCCAAAGAAACAATAGCTCTCGGTCTTATTTGACCATGTTTTATGCAAAAAACGCACAGCAACCGGCTAGGCCGAGCCTGACCGATACGGGAAGAGCAACATGTTCAGCAATATCACCTAAAAGCAATTTGTCCTATCATCATGAACAAGAACATCTCAATGAAGAAGGGTAAGATTTGAAATTTTTCAAAATATAGGTACCTATACTCAACCAAAATACCATCAGGGTAGTTTTTCTTTAACAATTTTATGTATGCGGCAACGATTTTTATGCTGCAGTTTTTCTTCAGACTTTTTTTTTGTTCCAAGTTTAATTAGATTTCTGCTTTTCCAACTTAAAGGTACCTACTATAACTATAGTCTATTTCTTTACATTTGATGGCTTAAATCGAGGTTTAGTTTAGGACCATAAAGTCATTGTAAACCCTATGATTAACAATGACTTTATAGTCTTAAGCCTCAACGCTATAAGTATAACTGTTCTGACAAGTAAAGTAAATAAATTTGGCCCTTAGTTATTATTAGGATACCTACTATTAACAATGTTTAGTTTAACAATAAACGATGATTGATTCAATAAAAATTTAGTTAAAAAAAAATATATTTTGCATTTTGCGGAGCCGCCATTGTGTCAGAAAATGCACCAAGGCCTTGGAAATAATTTGTTTTCTGCAAAAATTTTAGTGCCTACAGTTTCTATAAAAATGTTTTTCTACAAACGTCACTAAAAGTGTCCTTTTTAACGGATGCTGTCAGTGTCTAAAATGCCATTTTATGACACTGGTTTTAAAAGTGATTACTTTTAGCACTAGTGCTAAAAGTAATCACTTTTAGTGCGTTTGTAGAAAAAATAGTGTATGATATTCGTGCTAAAAGTGATTTTATTTTGTTCAAAGGAATGGAACACTCCGCCTTCGGCGTCGTAGCCCAAACTTCCCTTTTCACAAAATAAAATGTCACTTTTAGCACTTATATCATAAATAACTATTTCATAATCGGAACCATTTAGTTAATTCTTTTTAGATTATATGATCGTTTTTTGGAACCAAAATACAATTCGGTGGCCGATGATCAAAGTACAACTACCGAAGTGACCTACAATAATTATGATTTGAACTCTACATTGGACACTCAAATATGTAGCGTTTCTGAGGCCCTCTTTACGCCATCCAGGAATGATACGAAACATCCGATACTAAGAAGCAAACAGTCTGTAAGTAAACCCTTAAACGTGACTGGACTTGGACTTGGAGGACTTGGACCGAATATTGCACAAGAAAAGGAAAGATGATACAATTACATATTATTTATTATAATAATTTTGAACTTCAGGTTTTATTTACAGATGGAACAACTACGAAAAAGGCAAGATTATGGCAAAACTGTTAGTGAAAAAAATAGAATCAAGATAATGGAGAACAGAGTGGTGCGTCAACTAAAGCAAGAAATTCGGGAGAGCCAAAAACTTTCGAAAAACGTTTAAGTAATTTTTTTTTTTTCATGTCCATTTTATTAGAAAATGTCAATAAAATGATTGGAAAATAACAATGTGCTTTGCTGTGATAAGTTTAATGGCCTTCTCAATTGTACACAGCACAGGGTGTCCCAGGGAAAACAGTCCACCTCAATTTATTGGATTTGAAATGAAAATCTGGAAAAACGCTCAGACACGTCGATTTTTGATTTGAGGGGTAACTATTTTTCAGTTTTTTTCATCCCCGTATCTTTGACCCCCTATCTAGGGGGAGAACAACCTCCCTAATTTGAATAGTGGATAGGGGTCGTGCCGTACCTCATTTTAAGGGTTTCATCGAGTTTTCCATGGCCCTGGAATTTCGTCGTATTATTTTGATATGTAACGAAATGACAGCTTGTCAAAATCTTGGAAATGGACTATTGTTTTTGTGGGAGTAAACGTGATACTTACTCCCTTAATCAAAATACCTACTTGAAATTGAAGTTTTTTATTATTATTATTATTAATTAGGTGTACACGTGAATTGTAAATTCCAAGTATTTTTATTAAAGGAAATAAGTACCGCTTTTACGCCTACTAAAACAATAGTCCATTTCCAAGATTTTGACAAGCTGGCATTTCGTTAACAATGGCTCAACTTCGCTTTACACCGGATCGAACTTGTTGACAACACGAATGACAATAAACAATAGGGCAATCCAACGACCTGTCAAAATAGAATTCAAAATGGAGGCCAATGCCTTTTTATTCAAAAAAAATGTCGTTTTATTGCGATTTTTGATTTATATAAAGTCTGTAAAGTGTTGATTTTTTGGAAAATGCATACGTTATGTATTATACTTAGTTGTGGGTGTCGTTCTAGTCGCGAGAAAGTCTAGTTTCATGCCGTTCCTGCAGAGACAAAACACAGGTTTTTAACGGAGGAAAATGATTTGTCTGTACTTTGTGAGGGCTTCATGGATTGTAGCAAAAGAGAAAAAAATCTTACGAAATCCATATTAAAAAACCAAAAAGTCTCATCTCGACATAAATGGTGTATGGATCCAAGCCATTTACTATGCTCCACATCAGCCTGTGTCGATACCTTGAATAGCAGACAAATAAAATAAACATCAGGATTCAAGATTTGGTTAAGAAAAAACTAAACAGGAAACAAATCTTGGATAGTAGCTACCTAATTGTTTAGCAGGTAAAGGTTTTTCACACAACAGAAATCATAACTTTTGCAAACATCCGAGTTTTCCACTAATAATTTCTTAAACGAAAAACTTTCCATCTTAAAATACGAAAATTATCCTCCCAAACACTAGAAAATCATCTAAAAACACCACAAAATACACAAAAAACAGTTTTTTGATGAAAAATGTCACGATTGTTTGAATTAAATTTATGGCGCCAATTTTTTGGCATTGGCCATGCATTGACCGCCATTTTGTTTGGATTGCCTTATTCTAGAATTCTACCAACTTAACCAGAATTTCAAGGTTATGTTTTCATTTATAGCTCACTCAGAAATATATTTAAAGATATTTATTAATAAAACTAGAAGAAACTGAAGATTGAAGAATAAATTGAACATCAAACAAGCAAATGATAAATAAAAATAAATATCCTCACCTAGCTTCAATATTTTTAAAGTGTCATTCCTACGTTTCAAGCCTGAATTGACACAAAAATTGACGGAAAAATAGAGCATGCGCTAATCCGTCAATAAATTGAGCAAGAACTTGGACAAGTTAAATTACCGCCAATTTGGCGTTTTACATTATCAATATTTCTTGACAAGCGACTTGATCAATAAATTGACCAATAAATTGTCAGTGTAAAACCGTCTTTGGGGTTGAAGCAACGGGGATGAAAAAAACTCACGTGTCCGATCGTTTTTCCAGATTTCCATTTCAAATCGAATAAATCGGGGTGGACTGTTTTCCCTGGGATTTCAACGATTATGTTATCAATAATAATGTATCCTAAATCATATTGGAAACTCAAAGGACCACGCACAAATTACATTGAAAAGTGGTTTCGGTGAAATTGCTGGAGTTTTTGGTATGTTGTACTTCCTACCCCCTTGTTTCATTTTCAAAAAAAAAAAATAGGGGGGTCGATTGGATGGTTTCGCCCATAGAGAAATATAATAAACCAAGGTGAGAGTTACCGATTCTGTGGTGCGACACTGGCATCGCGATGACGTCATATCGATACTAGCGCCACTATCCACCACAAGACCAACTTAAATAATATTTGGCGGGCTTTTTGAACTTTCAGATTATAGTCTTGTTATTTTTGAAGGTAGAAATCTAGCCCAGCTCTTTTCCGCAGTCGACAGAAAAAAAAATGCGGGAAAACGCGGGCCTGGAAACAAAAATAAATAATCAAAAAATTTCCATGAAGTAATCTATATTATTTTGATCATTGGCAAAAATTACAACAAAAAAAAAGTGAAAACATCTCACTTTTCACTAATAATAGGTTAGTATTTAATAATTATCATTATTTATGCATGAACTTAACGATTTTCACATTGTAAATCTTACCAGAATCATGTATTTTAATAAACTAATTAATTTTAGGTGCACTCATTTGTGTGTGTCAGTTTTGAAAAAAGAAAATGTCATTTTATAGGGTGGAAATCGCAATGTACAATAAATAAAACCCCATGTCCTCTCTTCTTTTATTATCACATCTGTTAAAAAGAGACAGATATAAGAATGGGAAGCGATGTCAGAATTGTCAGATAGTTCCAAGCTATACTAGCGCCACCATGTGCTACAAGAAATACGTTGCCACTTGGCGCATATGAAACGGTAACTCTTACCTTGGTTTATTATATTTCTCCATGGTTTCGCCCATAGACGTTTCGCCGATACAAGGAAAAAATTTCGCGCCAGCAATTCAAAAAAAAAACCCGCAGTTTATTGCGATTACCTGCAAGGTAATAATTTGGTTGTACGGGTTATAGGTAATATTATAATATGGACAATAGTAGATTATACCACGAGTCAATAATGATAGTTATTATTCCCGAGGAATATTTACGAATTGAGCCGCGTTAGCGGCGAGGGAGTAACATTCCGAGGGAATAATAGCCATTATTGCGAGTAGTATACTCTACTTTATTTACGACAAATTAATTTATTTGAGATTTTTAATAGCAAATTTCATCCATCTCAATACAAATCTACCAGCACTACACGTTTGACACTGACACTTTTGAGGAATAATGACCATTAATCCCGCTACTCGTCATTATTCCCTGCGGGTGACATTAGTCGGAAATAATAGTTATTTACTTACGACTAACATAATGTAAGTATTATACTTGTGATTGTGGCAGTTTAATGTCATATATTATTCCCGCAGGGATTAATGGTCATTATTCCCGCTTGTAGACCAATCACAAAATTTCTTAAATTAAATAAGTGGTACCATGGAACCAATATAAACAAACTCAAAAGTGACAGTGTCAAACGCGTAGTGCTTGTGTATTTGTATTGAGATGGATGAACAAAAAGCGTTTTTGGAAAGGAAATTTCAAATAAATTAATTTGTCGTAAATAAAGTAGAGTATACTACTCGCAATAATGGCTATTATTCCCTCGAAATGTTACTCCCTCGCCGCTAACGCGGCTCAGTTCGTAAATATTCCTCGGGAATAATAGCTATCATTATTGACTCGTAGTATAATCTACTATTATGTATCAAGGGAATTATAAGGAGCTTAATACCCCAGGGCAACGTTTGTGTCCCGAGGGCCTCTGGCCCGAGGGACACTAATTGCCCGTGGGTATTAACACCTGACAATTCCCGTGGTACATAGATAATTTTATATCCTACTGAATTTACTATATTCTGTCTATTTTTATAAAGGAATAAACCATAAATCAAAATTGTATGTAAATGTAAAAACGGTTAATTTTAGACGAAAACCGATTTTACATTCCCATCTTAGATTTTCATAAACTATCATTTGACACCATCTTTGAATTTAACCGGAGATTAAATTTAACTGGTATTTTTAATCATAGATAAATTCAAAGTTGGTGTCAAATGATAGTTTATAAAAATCTAAGATAGGAATGTAAAATCGGTTTCGTTTTAAAATTAACCGTTTAAGTTTTACAGCCTGTCAAAGTTGCAAAAAGTCAATTTTCAACTGTCAATATTTCCAAAACAGTTGAATTTAGGTATAGGGTATATTACATGAAATCTGCTCAGAATTTTATGTAGAATCCAAATATGCAATCACATACGGAGTGTTCCATTTGAAATAACAAAGTTCTGTCGCATACCCCATAAACGGAGAACCCTGTATATTCAAAAATATTTTTAACTAATGCATATTAGAGTATCAAACAACTTTGTAATTCAATTTTTTTTTCTTGCATCACCCTGTAAGGAGATATTTTCCGATATCGCACTAAGTGGACACCCTGTATATCCTGTTCACAATCCGATGTCCACAGGTGCAGGTAAATTTATCACCTTTCCCTATCAAATAGCATTGAAAGGTGATTTTACCTGTACCTACCTGTGGACATCGGATTGTGAACGGATAATAGGTGTCAGTATTTAAGATGCCACTCCGTTTTCTTTAAATAACTTCTTTGAGGAAAACTTTATTTTTCAAACTATTTTTCTGGAGTTCCTTAAAGAGTCCCCTATGGCCCTACAACGTAGTGTAACTATCGCAAAACTGAGCACAAAAACTCAAAAATATGAATTTTAAATTTATAAGCCCCTACGCAGAACATAATAGGGTAATGCTTTGTTATAGGTGACTAAAGTCTATAATAACTGGAACATCATCATGGGGATTGTGGTTTCTATTTGCCGCATCACCAATATGTTCAAGTAGGTTAACTGAGGGATATTTTATATTATTTTCAAATCTTGAATTGACTTGAATATCCCAGAAATCATAAGACGCTACATGTGCTACACGTGCACAAGTTTCAACGGTCCTTGCTCCTGATTTGCAGGTGCAATCAATCGATCAATCAAAA